CCTGCAGCCCCCTCTGACCTACCTGGGACCCCAGCAGCCGCCTCCGAGACCCCTGAAGTCCCTGCACCAGCAGCTCCCTCTGGGGCCCCACGAGCCTCGGCCAGCCCCGGCTCCCAGTGAGGAGCAGCGGAGCCGGGGCCATTGTCCCAGCAGAGCCCGATACGCCCGCCCCCCTAGACCGGCAACGCTAGTCGCTGCTCTACAGCAGCAGCACAAGCTGCGTGGGAGCAGCCATCTTGGCGACCCTTCACCTTTGACCTCCCGGTGCCCTCCCCTGAACACAGGAGGACGGACTCGCAGCGCGTGGGTCACGTGGGCAGAACGTGCGGCGGCCATGACAGCAGAGGCAAGAGCTTTTCGGCAGCCCCGTTCGAGACGTGCCAAATCTCGCGATGTCTGTGATTTAAAGGGGCCATGCCCAAATTTTGGGGCCCCAGGAAAGAAGCCAAAAAGCATCGTGCCGGGGCCATACTATAACCACCCAGAGCAAGCCCTGGGTCCCTACGGGGGTGGTGCTGGCCCCGGTGCACCAGCCCGGTGGAGCGCTGGAAGTGGCATTGTGACATAGCCCCGCTGAGCGTGCCTGCCATGGCGGGAGCCAGCCCATCTGTCCATGAACAAAGGCGGGAGGCCTGGGCCCAGCTGCACCCAAGGGCCCACCTGCCCCCGCCCCCATTCCACCATGCACCCCACATCCCCTTTTCTCCCTTCGCTAACCTACACCCCTTTGCTTCTTTTTCACAGTGACTGCGTCCATTGCTGCTCTGCGCCCCGGACACACCCTCTCCACTGAGCTTCTCCCTCGTCCCGTTCCGGCCCATCTCTCTCCTGGCATCTGATGCCAGAGCAGCTCAGAAGCAGAGCCTGGGCATCAGAGTCTAAAAGTGTGGTGGAGAAGAACCAATGCAGGAAAAACCTCAAAAAAATGTTTTAATATGGAAGAAAAACAAAACACTGAATAGAGACTGGAAATACTTGGAAAGATCCCACTGGCCTTCTCTCTCAGATGCACATAGCATGGGGAAGAAAGGACCTACATACTTACATTGCAAGCTCAACTGGGCAGGCACTGTCTTTTTGTTATATGCATAAAACAGAATCTATCACATTAGCTTACCCTGTAACTGAGGTCTGTAGGTGCTACCATGCAGTTCCCCCAACTCCCGCCAATTTATCACAAGTTTCATGATATTTGGTGTTTGGTATTTTTTAATGAAAGCTGAGGTTGTTATGCAAATCAAGTTTCTAGCCTTCGTGGCTGCAGAGAAAAGCTTGAAAACTCAAAGCCTAAAGCCTCAAAAATCAGAAGGCAAATCAAAGGAATCTGAACTTTGTTGTTTAAAAATCTCGTGATTTTTAAGACAATCTGGTGATTTTCACGGGGCCGACTCACTGTTTTTAAACACGATACAAATAATAAATAAAAGTCTCTACACGTTTTTCTGTTTTCCCCAGAAGGCAGGAGGGAGCCACGTTTTGTTAGACCATAGCAGCCCTTGGACACTTAGCAAAAGTTATCAGTTACAATTACAACCATAGATTGCTACTGTAGATTACCAGATTGAATTTCCTCTTTGATATCAACATCTTTTGCAAGAGGCCTGTGGTAAACCCACTGTGCAATAGCCACTGCATGTTGGGAAGGGTCTGTCAGGAAATCCCTTTCTTCAGCAACTCTTGCAATATGCAACACAACTTTTGCTGAACATGTAGCGTCTCTTGGCTGCAGGAGACAGACTGCAATTCAGCGGCTCTTTTCTCTGACTTGTTTATTAATCAGTCATTTGGCCAACATGAATGTATTACACACATATAATGCCTTTTCAAACCACAGACATATTTGGCTAGTAAAACACTGTACAGGATTAAAAGAGATTTATGTATTAACTTTACCTGGGAGTCTCCTACAATAATAGAGTCACCAAAAATGGCTATATTACAAAGCAAGCGAATAAGTGCAAACCAGATCATCTAGGTTCCAAGTACAAATGGTGGGAAAAGAATGAATTATGAATCTCTCTTATTGCTCAATGCAATGAAATGCTGAACACCTTCATCTACCAT